ATTAAATTAATGGATCAATTATCTAATTGGGTTCAATTGATAAATGATTTCAAAAATTAAAAATCAATTAATTTTAATATTAATATCAGAAAATAAATATTTTTTTTTTTGTTTTTTTTTGTGTGTGTTGACTGGACCCGTCAGACCGGTCCGACCGGACCGGTTCGGTCAGCTGAAAAACAGCAGAAAAAATCGAGTTTTAAAATTAAAAATTTTATATTTTCTGAAATATTCAAAATATTTAATTAATATTAAACCACCCAATTTGATAACACCAATAATTCAACAATTCAACAAATCGAAGCACGCTTTCGAAAGCGATAAACACGTTGACAAATAAACGATTAACCCGTGGCTCTGATACCACTGTTGGGGATCGTGCATGTATACGCAGCGGAATTAAAAAATTTTAGATGGAACTAGTTTCGATTACATGCATAAACTAATCACATAGTCAACGTACCTTAACGCTTCCGCCATACACATGGTAATTATCGATTTTATTAAAAACATGTAAAACCGAAAAATATGAAACATGCTTGTTCATCATATTACAAAATCGAAACACGTAATCACATATTACTCATTCTCGTAAATTAAAAATCATACAAACATGTTCGAATCGAATTACGAAAGTTCCGATTTAATTACCTCTTGTAGCGTGAGATTTCGACGAATCGAAATTCAAACTCAAACACGTACAAGCTGCATTATACCACTCCTAGGGGCTGCAGGAACACCACCAAACGGCAGCTGGTCCGAAGGTGAGGCGACGGCGGCGCGTGCGTGTCAGCGGCGGCGGCGCGTGTGTGTCAGCGGCGGCGGCGCGTGGGCGGTGCAGCGGCGCGTGCGGCGGTGTGGCGATTCCGTCAGGGCAGCAGCTCCTCTCCAATTAGTTTTCACCTCGAATAAACCGATCTCCCCCTACTGTAGCACTAGATACAAAGAGGTTAGATAACAAGGGAAATACGATAGAGAAAGGAGAGGAAAAACCGGCGGTTTCCGGCGGCGGACGGCGCCGGTGCGGCGGGGCAGCGGCGGCCGAGAGGCTAGACGGCTAGGGCTGGACGGCTAGGGTTTTGGGGTGTAAAAATCTAATCTCAAACTCTTGTTTGAGGTCTATTTATACTAGGGTTTTCAACCCTTGTGGGTTTAAGTCATTGGGCTTGACCCACTGATGCATTAAGCCCATTCCCTCGTCGGCCTCGTTTCGAACAAACGATCGTTCACAAAATTATAACAAAATTATATTTGTGACGAGCTCAAAGTCCTCGTCGGTACAAGTGCCTCTTCGCAATTTCCAATTTCCAAAATTGGAAACTTCCACTTCAGTGGACCTGCTAAATCGGGAAACTTCCCAATTTAGAAAGTTCACCAAATTCCGCATTCTCTCTTTCTCTACGTTCATTCCGACTCGTAATCCACAATCACGAATCTTGGACTCAATCATATTGACCTCCAGCTTTGCAAAGATTAACATTTTAACGTATGCTCATTGTTATCAAGGATCCGTATTACACGAGAAGTGTGACCCTCAATGGTTCAGGTGTATGCTAGCCGTGGGCTCCCAACTCTTTGTGATTCGAACAACACATTGTTCTTATACGAACTCCTCCCAAGACTCCCGATTAGAGTAAAACTCATTTTACTTCATCGCCGATCAAATCGGTGCCCAACGAATCAAGATTGGCGTCTAGCAACTACGCATCATGATTCCCTAGATACAAGTGAAGTGCCTGCAAGAACCTTATGACATAGTTAGCGTACAGTACGATCCCTTCGCAGCACATATCCCGATTGAACTAGAGGCATTGGTTCACCGAGACCTCTTATAAAGTTCAATAACCGTGCGAACGTTCTAGGTATTATAAATCCGTTCGTGTGCGACTTGGGGAAACACATTTCCCTAATCACCCCACTATCAACTCTGGCCAGAGATTCCTTGGATTATAAACCATCAGAACACACAGGACATCCATGACTACTCAAGCGCTCGAATCCCCTACTACAATGCACATACTTCACACTAGATTTCGGATTGCACGAACGTTGGCCCTTGGATTGGTCCGCTGTGGGACTCAGGGACAGGTCACGATACAATCGGTCCTCTAGTGAAGTCACGGTGATGTCCGGGTCTTAAGGACTAATGGTGTACAACTATATCTTAGAAACCTATTACTCGATGAATGAGAACCACTTATAGATTTCTAGGGCGAGGGAGTTCAGTGAACTCATCCAGTATGAGCAGCCACTCAAGTATGCCGATGTCACAACATCGAGGAGTGATGAGACGCAGTACACATACACTAAGTGCTAGTCTCAAAAGGGAAAGGCCGGTATCCTCATTATTGGCGTAACCCATCGACTAGGAACAAGGTTTAACAGTTACATTACATTGCTGAGTTATCTCACGATTCTACTAGATCAACTCACAGTAATAGAGTAACTCGTTAGGACTATATATATGCTGCTTGCATGGGATAAGAGATATAGAATGCCAAATGAAATATTTTATTATTACGAACGAAAAATGATTGTTTTATTACTAGATAAAAAGGAAAGACCACAGCCACAAGTTGGCTTGTTGGTCACCTACTCTAACAATACATTCCATATCAGAATAGTCTCTATTTTCCAATTGGTGTCAAGATGAAGACGAAGACGGATAAAGCTTAGTGTTGATATTTATCTGAGCTTTTTTATTGAATAAGTATTTATGCATTTAGGTATGAAATTTATGTCAGATGCAGACATTGTTTATTTATTTATTTATTTCTTTATGTATTTTATTTTATGTTTTGCGAATAAAAGTTGAATTTTATTAAGAAACTGAATCAATGAGTACAAAGTTCAATGTACTATCCGGGAGAACATCTGCAAACCGAGCTAGAAGAAATAGCATATCTAGCTAAAGAGTGAGCCAAATTATTTGCTTCCCTAAAAATGTGACGAGCTTCGAAATAGCTCAGCTTCGAAACAGCTGAGCTTACAAATTAGAAAATGAGACTTTCCGACAAATTCAAAATGCACTTTGCCCCCTTCAAAATTTTATGCTGGTTGCACTTTGCCCTTATTCACACTTTCCGTCATTTTTTCACCAGTATTTTTATTTCCGCCGTTCACTTGAAAGGCATTTTCGTCTGTTCACTTGGGCTAAGTGCATTTTGTCCGTTCAATTTAAAGATAATGAAGAGCGATGATAATTTTCGAAATCAGGGTTTTTAAGGAAATTTTTAAAATTGCAATTTGGTCCTTGGAATTAGATGGATAAAAATTAAAATCCGGTGAAATTGGAAAAAAAAAACATATATACCCTAAAATGCTGCATATACCCCTTAAATGGACGAAGAAATTTGAAATCCGTTAAAAAATGCACCCGAACTCAAATTATGGGGCAAAGTACAACTATAACAAAATTTGGAAGGGGGAGAGTGTCCTTTTTAAATTTGGGGGGGGGGGGGGGGGATGCGTAAACTACAAATTTATAGGGGGTTCCAAGTGCATTTTGTCCAATGAAATATGGCTTGATTGTCTTACACGTTTTAATTGATAGCTGAACATGTGATCAAACATGAACAATCACACATATCTGGTGGACCTTTGTTGGATGTTGGCCACAAAATTTTCATTGATAAAAGTTTCTCTTACAACTGCATTTATATCATTTATGGGTTTACGATTAGGGTAAAAATACTTGTAGCTAGTTGTCCCATTATACAATAGTAGTATATATGTACCGTACCAAATTTCTCAAGCGTGAACAAAGTGAAATACACATTGCAAATGGAACTAAATGCTTCTCTACTTGCCATAATCATCTTGCTATCTACATTTATAATTTTCAACATTTCCAACAAATTATTATTCATCAAGAATAAGAAGCAAAATATATCTCCGGGCCCTAATGGCCTCCGATCCCCATCATCGGAAGCCTCATAACAATTGGAGGCCGAACCCACGAATCTATAGCCAACCTAGCCAAAATCTACGGCCCGCTAGTGACATTGAGGTTTGGATTCGTCAACGTGTCGTAACTTCCTCTGCAGAAACGGTGAAAGAAATTCTTCAGACGCACGAAATGGAATTCATAGGTAGGCCCATCCCAGATGCGGCCACGGCAGAGAAGGGGTACGGCTCTCGCTCTGTTGTGGCTGACGGTGGGCCCCCTATGGAAGAAACTCCGGAAAATATGCAACGCCCATCTTTTCACGCCTCTGAACCTAGATTTGAGACCGGAGGTTGATAGGCCAGAAAAAAATTTCAGAAAAAAAAAGTTTTAAAAAAAAAAAATAGTCAACTCCGGAATCCGACCGGAAAAAAAAAATATTTTTTCAAAAAAATATTAAAAAATGGGTGTTAATGTGATATATTTGTTTAAATATGGGGTCAATGTGTAATATTGAGAAAGTTAGAGTACAATTGATGGAATGTATATAAATTATATTATGGAGGGTATTTTAGACTGAAGACATGGGGATGAGTTTATTTGAAATACTATTTTTTTATGTGGACCAATGTCTATTTAAGTCCCTTGTCATGTCCCTCTTTGTCATTTGCCATTGTTACAAATTCATGCCCCCTCTATTTCAAATTAATAGTCACTTTCGAAAAAAAAAACTTATTTCAAATTATGATGGTGTTTGCAAAACCTTTTACAAATAGATTATGAGCATTTCTTTTTTCGTTCATAAACTATTTTGAAGTGTTTGCAAAATGAACTTTTGTTTTTAGTTCTCTTAAAATAAATAACTTTAAGCTATAATTACAAGGATTTGATAGATGTAATCGGAGTACAAAGAGGATTTATCATTATAGGCTTTTAAGTAATAGAAAAATTGATGTGGACCTAATCGCAAGAATATTAATGTCGATTGGACTATATGAAATCGGCCCTTTTTCTCAAAAATATCTTTGAAATATGACATGATCGGAAGCCTCGTAACAATTGGAGGCCAAACCCACGATCTATAGCCAACCTAGCCAAAACCTATGGCCCACTCATGACACTGAAGCTCGGATTCGTCAACGTTGTCGTAACTTCCTCTGCAGAAACGGTGAAAGAAATTCTTCATACTCACGAAATGGAATTCATAGGTAGGCCCATTCCCGATGCGGACACGACAGAGAACGGGTCCGAGCTCGCTCTACCGTGGCTATCGGTGGGCCCCTACTGGAAGAAACTCCGGGAAATATGCAACGCCCATCTTTTCACGCATGCGAAGCTAGATTTGATCCAAGAACTTCGCAATCAAGTGATGAGAAATATGACCGAACGTGTGTTTCGAGCTCAAGAACGTGGAGAAGCGGTCGAGATTAAAGGACTAGCTTTTAGTACTATCGTGCAGTTGTTGTCGAACTCGATGTTTTCGGACGATTTGTTGGATCCTGCATCGGGTGCAATGGAGGAGCTGGAAATGCTTAATGGTAATATAATGGTGTTATTGGGGAAGCCAAACTTTGCTGATTATTATCCTTTCTTGAGGCTATTTGATTTGCAAGGGATTAGGCGTGAGATCAGAAAGTCGTATGATACATTGCATGGATTGATCGATGGCATTATTGATATAAGGACGGAGCGTCGTCGTCTGAGTGGTGGATCGGATAGGGTTCTTGGATGTTCTTCTCGATTATATGGAAGATGGAGGACCTCAAGGTCTTACACGCTTAGATGTCAAGCTTATGATAACGGTTGGTTTTCTTTATCTATTTTTTCTCTTATCTTAAAGTTTATAAGTATAAAAATTTAGGCATTTCGGGTAAAGATGTCATTTATTGAGATTGGATTAAATTTTAAAACAAAAAAAAAACAGTTAGAGAAGTTTATGATTGATTCGAGCTCGGTTCAACTCAATTAGAAAGATCAAGTCAGCTCAACTCATTTACACCGTTAATCAATCTAAGTAATCTAGTTAGACATACTTTAAGGGTTCATTTGGATTGAGGGAATTTGGAAGAGGGTTTGACTTGGGGAGGGGATTTGATTTGGGGAAGGGATTTGAAATGGCACCAAATTGGAGTCATTTGAAATCCACCACAATTGCTCAAAAAACATCTAAAAAGAAAGGTTGTGAAGTTGAAATTCCTTGTCAAATTCCTAACTTCAGACAAGTGCAAGGGATTTATTATTATGGATTTGAAATCCCTCCATCCAAATGGACACTAAATGTTTTAAAGGAAGTTAGTTGTGGTTTACCCTTTATTTTAGATATTCGAGTTCATATCTATAACTAGTATTCACCCGTGCGGTGCACGGGGCGACATATTTTTAAGTGAAAATACATGTCTGAAAAACAAATATACGCAGATATCAATTATTACGGTCACTGAATCTAAGTACATAACGTAATCGACCAACGATAATAAAAATATGTTATAAGTGTCACGTTCTTCATAGTTATAATATAAGAATACTATTAAATATTAGTATATCGTCAAAAATAAATCTTAAAGATAATAAGAATTGCACCGAGCACCCTAGGGAAATGACTGAAAATAACATTGCACCGGGGAAAATATATAGATAAGAAACACCTGCAAAAGAATAAGTTCTTAAAAAATAAAAATAAAAACATGTTACATGAATAAATGATAAATATGAAAATATTTTCTGCCTTCAAATTCGATGAAATACTTCCTTGTACACGACATTTCTAGTAACATTGGTGAGTTCACCGGAATCCGACTTGATGAATATCTTAATGCCACGTATGCTCTTAACTCTGGACAGTGCAACATACAGTTGACCATGGCTGAAAACAGGCCTAGGAAGATACAAACCAACATGCGAAAGAGTTTGGCATTGGCTTTTATTTATCGTCATTGTAAAAGAAACAATCAACGGATATTGTCTTCTCTGAAATTTAATTGGCAGTCCGGAGTTAGATGGTATTAAAGTCATCCGAGGAATGAACACCATGTCACCGATATTTTTTCCGGAAAGAATTTTGCAACTCAGAACGTGAATGCCTGTTCTAATTATTTGAAGTTTGGTACCGTTGCACAATCCGCTAGCTTGATCAATGTTTCTTATTAGCATAACGGGTGCAACAACCTTGATCTTCAGCGCATGAGAAGGAACTCCGGAGCATCTTATTGTGTTGAGGAATTCAGTCGAATAAATTTCTGCATTATCCTCCGTTGTTTGCTCGTCCCTACACATACTATCTGAGCTCAGGTACACCTTCTCCTCTCTTGGAAGGAGAGACATTAAGTGATCATTCACAGACTCGACGCATTCATTAGTTGGGGCAAGAATTTGTTAGAGTAGGTGACCAACAAGCCAACTTGTGGCTGTGGTCTTTCTCTTTTTCCTTGTAATAAAACAATCATTTTTCGTTCGTAATAATAAAATATTTCATTTGGCATTCTATATCTCTTATCCCATGCAAGCAGCATATATATAGTCCTAACGAGTTACTCTATTACTGTGAGTTGATCTAGTAGAATCGTGAGATAACTCAGCAATGTAATGTAACTGTTAAACCTTGTTCCTAGTCGATGGGTTACGCCAATAATGAGGATACCGGCCTTTCCCTTTTGAGACTAGCACTTAGTGTATGTGTACTGCGTCTCATCACTCCTCGATGTTGTGACATCGGCATACTTGAGTGGCTGCTCATACTGGATGAGTTCACTGAACTCCCTCGCCCTAGAAATCTATAAGTGGTTCTCATTCATCGAGTAATAGGTTTCTAAGATATAGTTGTACACCATTAGTCCTTAAGACCCGGACATCACCGTGACTTCACTAGAGGACCGATTGTATCGTGACCTGTCCCTGAGTCCCACAGCGGACCACTCCAAGGGCCAAGTTCATGCAATCCGAAATCTAGTGTGAAGTCTGTGCATTGTAGTAGGGGATTCGAGCGCTTGAGTAGTCATGGATGTCCTGTGTGTTCTGACGGTTTATAATCCAAGGAATCTCTGGCCAGAGTTGATAGTGGGGTGATTAGGGAAATGTGTTTCCCTAAGTCACACACGAACGGATTTATAATACTTAGAACGTTCGCATGGTTATTGAACTTTATAAGAGGTCTCGGTGAACCAATGCCTCTAGTTTAATCGGGACATGTGCTGCGAAGGGATCGTACTGTACGCTAACTATATCATAAGGTTCTTGCAGGCACTTCACTTGTATCTAGGGAATCATGATGCGTAGTTGCTAGACGCCAATCTTGATTCGTTGGGCACCGATTTGATCGGCGATTAACTAAAATGAGTTTTACTCTAATTGGGACTCTTGGGAGGAGTGCGTATAAGAACAATGTGTTGTTCGAATCACAAAGAGTTGTGAGCCCACGGCTAGCATACACCTGAACCATTGAGGGTCACACTTCTCGTGTAATACGGATCCTTGATAACAATGAGCACAGGTTAAAATGTTAATCTTTGCAAAGTTGGAGGTCAATATGATTGAGTCCAAGATTCGTGATTGTGGATTACGAGTCAGAATAAACGTAGAGAAAGAGAGACATGCGGAATTTAGTGAACTTTCTAAATTGGGAAGTTTTCCGGTTTAGCAGGTCCACTGAAGTGGAAGTTTCCATTTTTGGAAATTGGAAATTTCGAAGAGGCACTCGTATCGACGAGGACTTTGAGCTGGTCACAAATATAATTTTGTTATAATTTTGTGAACGATCGTTTGTTAGAAACGAGGCCGACGAGGGAATGGGCTTAATGCATCAGTGGGTCAAGAGTTTGAGATCAGATTTTTTACTCCAAAAACCCTAGCCGTCAAACCCTAGCCGCCCAAGCTTCTCGGCCGCCGCTGCCCCGCCGCACCGGCGCCGTCTGCCGACCGGAAACCGCCGGTTTTTCCCTCTTCTTTCTCTCTCGTGTTTCCCTTGTTATCTAAACCCTTTGTATCTAGTGCTACAGTAGGGGAAGATCGGTTTATTCGAGGTGAAACCTGATTGGAGAGGAGCTGCTGCCCCGAAGGAATCACCACACCGCCGCTGCACCGCCCACGCGCCGCCGCCGCTGACTTGCACGCACCGCCGTCGCCTCACCGTCGGACCAGCTGCCGTTTGGTGGTATTCTTGCAGCCCCTAGGAGTGGTATAACGCAACTTGTATGGGTTTGAGTTCGATTTCGATTCGTCGAAATCTCACGCTACAAGAGGTAATTAAATCGAAACTTTCGTAAATTTAATTCGAACATGTTTGTATGAATTTTATTTTACGAGCATATGCGATATGTGATTGCGTGTTTCGATTTTGTAATTTGATGAACAAGCATGTTTTATATTTTTCGGTTTTACATTTTTTAATAAAATCGATAATTACCATATGTATGGCGGAAGCGTTGAGGTACGTTGACTATATGATTAATTTATGCATGTAATCGAAACTAGTTCGATCTAAAATTTTTAAATTCCGCTGCATATACAGGCACGATCCCCAACAGTGGTATCAGAGCCACGGGTTAATCGTTTATTTGTCAACGTGTTTATCGCTTTCGAAAGCATGCATCGATTTGTTGAATTGTTGAATTTTTGGTGTTATCAAATTGGGTGGTTTAATATTAATTAAATATTTTGAATATTTTAGAAAATATAAAAAAAAATTTAATTTAAAAACTCGGATTTTTTTTTTCTGCTGTTTTTTGTCGGTTTTCAGCTGACCGAACCGGTCCGGTCGGACCGGTCTGACCGGTCCGGTCTGCACACACAAAAAAAAAACAATTATTGATTTTCTGATATTAATATTAAAATTAATTGATTTTTAATTTTTGAAATTATTTATCAATTAAACCCAATTAGATAATTGATCCATTAATTTAATTTGAATTCAAAGAATAGTGTTGGATTAATTATTTAATTTAATCGTTAAATTAGTTTAATTAATGGAACACAAATTAAATGGCAAATAATTAGTGGACTTCATTCTTATTTGATTGATTTATTAATGAAGGGAATCCGTTAATTATATTTGCAATTAATCGTATTAATTAATTAATTCATGAGATGAATAATTGTTATTAAGTACGATGATGATCGTATGTCTCTCTTAGGATCAATATGCGTTTCCACATACCTAGAGAACATAGTTGTAGGAATCACAAACAATCATAACCTAATACTTCCGATGAACTAATAAGATTTAATAAATAAAAGCCCTCATTCTTAATCAAGAATAATTATCAAGCTATAAAGAAAAACCAAATTGTTGAATTTTTCTTTCCTTCTACCAACAATTAAATTATGTGTAGCCTCTCATAATAGTGCAGTAAGCCGTGTAAGCGGGGAGTGCTATTATGTGATAAGTTGTAGTTTAATTGACATTAGATGGAGATACGGTCATAGATAAAATTCTATTGGATTAATGTGGTCGGCTAGATTAACTAGGGATTGCATTAGTTTGGTATAGTTGGATCTATGACATCTCATATTGGTAGGTTAGACTTGACACACGAAGATTTTGATATTCGCTAGATTAACTTAGGTCATTATCAAGTATGAGGTAAATCAAACTTTAGGGTCACATAGTGATGTGATTGATAGCACCCTACCTTTAGGCTTATGTAATCGGGATAGATTAACTACGGGTTACATTAGCGCTATTGGACCTAAAGCCCATTAAAGAAAAATAAGTTTTCTCGATTGTCTGCTAGAGGGTGGTGGAATTCGATAAAATTAGTGGGAGAACAATTAAAACATAAAAGTCCAAAATTTTAATTCTTACGATTATTACGAAATAAACTATAATTATTGTCTTCTTAAAATTTTCTCAGCAACAATGTCCAAACATCCCCTTTCATCTATCCTCGACCAAAACAAACTCACTGGTCCAAACTATTTGGATTGGCTTCGCAATCTGAAACTTGTGCTCCAAGTCGAGGAGCGTCTCTATGTGCTCAATGAACGTCCCCACGCTGCTCTTCCTGCGACTGCTACTGCTGACGAGACTGCCACTTTCGAGGCATGGAAGAAGGACGACCTCCATGCGAGGTGCTACATGCTAGCATCCATGGTGCCAGAGCTCACGAGGAAGTATGAGTCTCACGTGCATGCTTATGATATCAAGCATCATCTTGAAAGCATGTACAGTGAGAATACTAGGGCATCGAGGTACTCAGCTACCAAGGAGTTGATCACCATGAGGATGCGTGAAGGGGCTTCGGTCCACGAGCACGCTCTCAAGATGATCACTCTCCTTGAGAAGTTGGTGAGCCTTGATGTCACCCTCCCGGCCGAGCTCTCGGTGGATTTGATCCTACTGTCCCTTCCTAGTTCTTATAAATCCTTCATAGTGAACTTCAACATGAACAAGCTGGATCCACCATTGGATGAGTTGTTGAACATGTTGGTCAGCACGATCAAGAAGGAGAAATCTGTTCTCCTAGTTGCTCTTTCTGCGAAAAAAGGTTCTTTCTATAAGAAAAGGAAAGAAAGGAGTTTCGGCCCGAGCAAGAAACTTGAGAAGGGCGAGTCGAGCGGAGTGAAGAATGACAAGGTCACCAAGCAAGTTGATGACGCTTGCCATCATTGTGGAAAGAAGGGCCATTGGCGACGCAACTGCAAGGCATACCTCGATCAGAAACGTTCTGAAAAGGGTACGTATATATCAGCACAACTTTGGCACGCTCGACTGGGTCATATTTCCTTGAGAAGAATGAACGAATTTGTAAGTGAAGGATTGTTCTCCCTGGAGGACGTGAAATCACTTCAAACTTGTGTATCCTGCCTTAAAGGAAAAATGACCAAAACTCCCTTCAAAGGGAAGATGGAACGAGCAGAGGGTCTTTTGGATTTGATCCACTCAGACGTGTGTGGTCCACTAAGCATTAGTACTAGGGGTGCTTTTAACTACTTCGTTACCTTTACCGACGATTATTCGAGGTATGGTTTCGTGTACTTAATGAAGTATAAGTCTGAAACTTTTGAAAAGTTCAAAGATTTTAGACACCAAGTAGAAAACCAACTCGGTAGACGTATTAAGAAACTACGATCCGATCGTGGTGGCGAATACTTAAATACTGAATTTATAGACTATCTTAAAGAGAATGGGATTCTGTCTCAATGGACTCCTCCTGTAACTCCTCAACTTAATGGAGTTTCCGAACGTCGGAATCGAACACTGTTAGACATGGTTCGATCTATGATGGGGTTCACCGAGCTACCGGCATACCTGTGGGGTCATGCACTCCTAAGTGTCGTGTATTTGCTGAATAGGGTTAATACCAAAGCAGT